ATATCATATTATATTATATTATATTATATTATATTATGTTATGGTATATGTAGGAGCGTAGAATTAGTGAAAGGATATAATTACTTATGAGATTTCAGTTTATATTAATTACTTAAAATTTATTTATTTAATCTTTTTTTTTGGAGAATTAAAAAAAAAATTTTTTTCAAACACGTTTTTTTTCTTCTTTATCATGGAAAGATAGCACATATGTTAAAAATCAAATTTTTGGGCCTGGTACATTTTCCCCAACACTCAATAGTCCGTCGGCATGAATTCCCGACTCCATTTGGCTGACTTTTACCGATAGACTTTGAATAGACTTTTTCTAGACAAGTACGTTTGCCCAAAAACTAAATGATTGACGCATATAATTAAGTGGATTGATCATTTATTTCTGAAAAATACTATTTATACAGTCTGCGCTATTTAGTACTACTCTCCATTATAACCAACCTCCCCATTGGAACGACCGATACATTAACCTTTTGCTTACTTTGTACCAGTTATACCATTACATGTGGTACACATGTTGAACCAAACGTAAGCGAAAGGTTAAGTATCCTTTTTCATTCCACAGATGCAATATTATATGAACGCCTATTAGAACGTTCGAATTGAACCTTTCATTTTGATATAGCAACCGACATTTCGTAATTTGATTCAGTAAATCCTTTTTTATTACCACTCATTAAATGTGGATCATCTTGGTATTTTTTTCGAATGAAGGAAACATGATGCGGCCCTTACATTATTTTCCTGAGTGGTAGTATTCTGCAATCAAAATAGCAATAGCGTAATTTATATGAATATGTCTTATAAGCAATACCGAGCAATATTGTATAAACGATAAGAAAAAATTATATTCATTTCCCTTACATGCCTGCCCTATCAGGCAAACGCCCCCGTCGGGAAAACAGGGTCAGGCATTTGGATTCTCGGGCAATTGACCGGATCCTCAGATATTTTGATAAGTAAATGTGTATTTTAGTCTTCTTAAAATATATCATTTTAGTTACATGGATAATGAATTCATGCAATAAAATACGTAACTTTACGTGAAGGTATACAGATGAGCATAGGCTCACTCTTAGAAGCCTGGGCGCCACTCAAACCAGAGAATCATAGGATTCATCAGTAAATTAAAGCCATGATTCGACAAGAAAGAAAACCAAAAGCGGCATGAATAACTTTTATACTAAAGTTCAGATTTTAGCAAATTAAGTGCCTGACATCTTCATTTAAAGCGTTGTTCTCAAATACACTGACTAATTAGTATACTTATTATTGATTTAGTAAGAGTTTCTTCTTTTTAGTTTAAAAATATTTTAAGAGAACGACGTTTCACATATCAATGAATAACTTAGTAACGATTAATGAGGCCTAAGAAGGCATGTGCATCATCAATAATTTCCGAAAAATGTTACATATATTTTCATTTTTAAAAATGAAATTACTTTATATTTAATAAAAATCTTGGAAAATTTATGTGTCATTTTGCAAGACAATATTATAATTTTCCCTGGCATTGACATTTTAAAAACCAATTTATATATTTTCTAAAAAAAATAAAAAGGTACGCAGCATTTTCAAGGGAGCAAAATTTAAGTATTATGACCAGTTTAAATGCAATGGGTAGTTTTTGTACAGTTCCTAAAACAATAAGATTTTTTTTATTATAATACTTTCGTTTTAACATGATTACATTTTCATACACTCTACTTATTTCTGCTAAAACCTTTTTAGCGTGATTTAAATTTATTTCTGTTCCCAAACTTTCAAACCCCGCACGAAATTTATAGCTTATTTTGAATAAAAAGTGTATTTTCTGATCTATTTCAAGCGTATACTTCTGGAGAAAGTTTGATGCTATGCATACCTAATATATTTAGGAAGTGAAATTTCGCTGGTAAGAAACATTTTTTTTAAATTTCTAAATAGTTTTAAGAGTAACGTTCAGATTCTTGATCTCTTTAAATTGAATATGTTTTACAATATATTCAGAAGAGAAAAAACAAATTTAAAAATTACAACAGAATTGAAGAAGATCATATTGCGCCAAAAAGAAAAAAAATTGCTGAAAAATGTGATTAAACTTAGTGAAATAGTTCTTAAATACGTTCCATATTAAAAAATTAAAGGATTAAATTATTACCATTTTTAACATTGCATTTTTAACATTTATCTAGAAAGTTTAGAAGATTTATAAGTGATATAAATTTTCTAAACCTTCTAGATAAATGCTAAAAATGCATTTAATTTGTAATTACTTTTATTCCATTATTAGCGCTATAAGTATAGAGTGATGCCGTCTCTAATTGCAGACGTAACCTAAATTGCATAGATTATCTTATTATAATAAATGTATTTTTTATAACCAAAAGTGTATTAAATTTTGCAACGTATTTTAAACAAATCTTATTGTTTGTTTGAAAATGTTGAGTAACTCAATCGATCTAGTAGTAGGAGTTTAGAAATTAAAATATGTATACATATATAATTCCAACAACAATAATCTCTCAGACATGGAAATTGAGATGTAACAGCATTTCAAAATAAATTTGGAAATCGAAGCAAATTGTATTTTCATTCATTGAAATTTGAATCAACATTCGTATTTTTTTCTTTCTAAAATTGAATGGAGCTGACATTTGGTGCCTCTTTTTTTATTTTTGAGAATATACATAAATTTGAAAAATAACAGTACCACTGTTTTTCTATACGAGCAACGTTTCTAAACCTAGTATGCAACTTCTATGTAAAACGCAACGTTTTTTTCCCTTTTTTTTACCTCTTTTTCTTTTTTTGTTGCTTAAAACGCACGAATATAAATTTAAATAAGACAAAGTTGTTTTCTGAAATAGTAATAATAACTTCATAATCAACCTCCCCCCCTCCAAAAAAAACTTTCCTTCGGTACCTTTGATAAAGATGCTTTACACGTTATTTGCATAAATATTGTTAAAAAGAAAGATTTCTCTTAAGAATTCTAAATTTTCTGCGATTGAGATTTTTTTAAAAGCTCATTAACGTAATTCATAATCAAAAACCGCACTTTTCATATTCATTATTGCAAGAACAACTATTTTAGTTTTTGTTTTTTAGAACTTATTATGTTGACAAGCAATTGCTGCCTTTGGAATTTATGCTCTTTTTTTTATTATTGAGTGTACATGAATTTTGAAAAAAAAACTTTTTTTTAAAACAGTGAATGTTCTATAACGCCAAAATATTTCATTAAAAACACATAGATTCTTTTTTAAAAAAAGTTTTAAGCTATTTCCACCACCAAACGTTAAATATAAGTCTACTACTAAATATAAGATTTAGTGAACTTAACTTGAGTCCCATTAATAGAAACTTTGTTATTTAACAAATTCGAATTACATTCCAAATGTTCTCTCAAAGCAGTGATGTTCGACAAAACTTTGCAGCTTTCTGTCGATCTGATTTTTGGAAATTTGGATTTTTGTATGCAGTAAAACTGCGTTTAGAATTCCCCTAACTTCTTCAGGTCTTAGCGAAGCAAACTCGTTAACATAAGAGCATAACGTGTCCATAAATTTACTTTCGTTACCACTATGTATGGCTTTCTGTATCTTTGAAAAAACATCAAATGAATCTAATTTTTTCGAACCCTTTTCATTTAATAAATTATTCAATTTCTCGGTTATTTTCAAAGCCTGAACCGTCGCATCGTAAGGAGAGTTTACGAACTTCCAGTTAGAAACATATTTCTCGTTAGTAAATTTGCGAATGAGTAAGTCTAGCAAGAGTAAAGCACCAGTGACATCAACATTTGCGTGAGTTTTGAATTCTTTAACTTTCATGTCTTCATTCAGTTTGTAGGGATCAGCTAAAAACTTAGCTCCATTTTCGGTGTAATGTTTTTGGGGAAAGTGTCTACTATATTCCCTAAATTTTTCGCTTTTATGCTCGGCATTTGAACTTCTTTTTATAAACTTATTTCTATCACAGCGACCTTTTTCACCAAATAATCAAACATGAAATTCTTTTCCTTTGCTAATTCACATGATCATGCATCTACATCCTTAGTGTATTTGCCATCTGGCAACTTTTGTAACCAATCGCTTTCTAAAGATACTATCTCCTTAACAATTTCAGTTTGTTTGTTAAGAATTGCTATAGCAAGGGGTGTATAGCCTTCGGCAGTCTTTTTGTAAGCTTTTGCATAGGCATAAGTCATCAAGGTATTAACACCTTGCTTCAAACCTGCTTGAGCAGCTAAATGCAATGGCGTCTGCTGATCTATATCGGGCTCATCTGCAGAGATTTGTCTTACCGATTTTCCCATTGTCCACCGTATCAAACCATCTACCAGATTATCGTGTTTAAAATAGGCTGCAAAGTGAAGAGGGGTCCATTTTTAGTCCGAACCAGGAGAGTTTATATTATCAAAACCATAATTCATGAAACCGCTAAGCATACGGATACGCCCTTTCATTGCAAAATAGTGAATGGGGGCCATATCGTTTTTGTCTTTAGCGTATATATCGCATCCTTTTCTGCGCATTAAATTGAAAGCATTCTCAATCGAATTCAGCAGAACTGCTATATGTAAGGCCGTTAGTCCTAGCGTATCCTTGATATTCACATCTACCTAAGATTAGATTTAGATTATCAATACCGAATGCGATGAAACCACTGAACATACCGTTATACCCTTTCATCGCGGCATAGTGAATGGGGGCCATATCGTTTTTGTCTTTCGCGTATATGTCGCAATTTTTACTGCGCATTAAACTAAAGGAATTGTCAATCGAATTTAACAAAACTGCGATGTGTAAGGCTGTTAGTCCTAACGTATCCTTGATATTCACATCTACCTTATTACTATTGATAAACTGTTTAGCAATTTTAGTGCTCAAAGAATTATCTGAAACAGCGATGTGCAGAGCAGTTTTTCTGGATCTTTCAACCTCATTAGGTTTAATTTTATCACTAGCTAATAAATACTCTACGCTTTTTTTTGACTGGAAACGCACTGCTAAATGTAAAGGTGTTACGCCATGCTCAATCGTTTTTGCATTGACATCAGCATCCTGTTTTACTAGCTCGCGCACGAAATCATCTCTTTTGTTCTCAACAGCTATATGCAAAGGAGTGTAACCTACCGAATCTTTCTGATTAAGGACTCTATGATCGACTTCTAAAATTCGCTTCAACATATTCACTCTTCCTGCTGCAGCTGCTGCGTGAATCACGCTTCTTTTGCTTTCAAAAACGGCAGAAACTTTGGCACCAAGACTTAAAAGTTTATTCATATTCTGCATTATACTGTTATCATCGTAAGAGTTTTTGAAAGCTAAATCATATAAATCTCTATCAAGATCCCTAAACTGTAACTGAGATCCCGAAATAACCTGAACCACTTCTGGTGGATTGTTATCAAATTTCCGAAAAACGATCCTGTTTTTCTGGTTCGAATTTCTAATTGATATCTGAGGGTTAGCAATGTCGAGCACTTCTTGAGTTATCCATTTGCTAATTTTGGAATACTTACCATCCTCCTCGTACTGAAGTGCGTAGCTAACTTCGACTCCTCTTTCCCAATCTAAAAAGTTCGTTTTGCTTACTTTTCCACCAGCATTAAAGATAATATCAATTTCATTTGCTGGCGTTTCTTCTATTATTTGTAAATTCATCTTCTGAAAGTTTTGTTTTACCCATTTCAAATGATTTGTTTTGTTCAAAATGTCACTGTACAGTTCTTTTCTATCGTTATCGAGGTTGTACATTCTCTGTACCTTTTCCATAACCTTTATGACATCCTCAACTAAGCCATTGTTAGCTGTTGTAAAAATGTGTTTAAACGTTGTAAAATAAAATATGAGGCGATCAAGGTATGTGTTAAATTTAATGAGATCTCGCTCCTGGTAATAATATTCGGCAACGTAAGTATACTGATCTAACAGAGAAAACACAATATTCGAATAAGTAACGGTTCCGAAACTGAGAGCATTTAGAGCATAGTAAGCATTCTGGTGAATACTATTTTTTGGGATCGCGTATTTTTTATCGAGGATCGAGAATAGCGCTTCGTACAACTTTCCACCCAGTTTAACATAGTTAAACAAGATATTATCTCCAATCTCCTGCTCTATAAAATTCACATATTGATCTTTTGGCGCGTCTCTACGATTATTTTCACTAAACGTAAAAGATTTATAAGCTGTGTTTATAGTTGAAACCAATTCATTCACATCTTGGCCTTCGATGGAATCTAAAATGTTCTCAAATCCTCGGTCCATCGCTATTCTCATATTTTCTATTTCTGTTAAAGTTTTCTTGACTGTGTTAGAAATATCTTTTAATATTTCTGTTTGCTTATCTAATTTCCGGTTTATTTCGCCTAAAGTTTTGTTTAGTCTCACTTCTAATTCATAAAATGGTACATCAGCGCAATCTCTTTCAATCGAAGCGGATCCCAGCAATCCTTTGCCTATCGCCGCGCCAAAACAGAATCCAGACAGCGCCAATCCCAATCCTGGCAACAATAGAGTGCCAGCAACTGCTGCCGCTGCCCCAAAAAATCCCGTTATAGCATCTGCCCAATTCATGCGACAATCTAAATCTTTGCATTCAGCGGCTAGTTTTTCAAGATCAGTTAATCTTCTAAAACGCATTAGCGTGTTTATATCATTGAAAATTACCATGTTCTCGACAGTAGTATTACTTCTTCTAAATCGTTCAGCCATTTTGACATTATGGCTGGATTTCCCAGAAGCTAGTCTTTTGATATTTTGTTTTTTGAATTGCTTTGGAATATTCAAGTCCCGAGTAAGCTCTTTACTGTAATGGAAGGACATAATTGTAAGCGAAATATCTATACTTACTTTTCTTCTTAAAGAAGAGTAGAATACCCTTTCGGAAAAGGCTAGTTATAACTGTTAAATATGTCAATATATATATATATTTCCTTTAAAAAAAGACGACAATTTGACGGCGGACAAGATGGCAGATTTCAGAAGATAGCAAATTTTCAATGGTTGATTGTTGACATCGCTTAGTCAGTTATTTGCATAAAACATCTGTTTAAAATATTTCTTCTTAGGATAGCTCGCGTCGTAAAATTTTGTATTTTATTAAATGCCATAACATTCGACAGCTGTTTGGATTGTTCGCCTTATCAATAACTTGCAAAATAATTTTAAATCTGTCACATAGTTCAGGGGGGGGAGGGCGGTTGGGTATTTCATAGTTTGTAAGAAAGTATTCAAATATTTTTTAACATCTGTGTATTAAAATGTCAATTTCGGAGACATTTACTTCATAGACAAAAACATTCTAAACGAAAAAGATTGAAATTCAAATTCTATACTATATCGAACAGAAACACTTCCAAAGATATTAATAAAGCAATAATCGAGTTGTTAAATTCTTTTTATTCTGTTTCATCGTTTCACATAGCATTTTACTTTTGAAAGAAAACTAATGCGAGTAATTTCATGAGTAGAATATTCTTTTCCTTTTTTTAAAATCATTTCGCATTTCTTTTTTTTAAATCATTTTTTTAATTATATTTCACCAATTTGGATTTTAACACTATAGATTCATTGAACATCTGGTCTAAATATTTTTGCTGTTATGATCAGCTTTAAGCATGCTATTCTGATCTTGATCTATAAGACATTCAGATCTAGAAGGCAGAGGAACCACAAAAGGGAGACATTCAGCCCAAAATAGCTTTCTTTGAATTCCTTTTTAAATTTCACTATCTCTTAACTATTTTTGTGTCACGGTTTCCTTGTTTCCGTCGCACGAAAGCTAGACTAATGAGCTATAGGCCGCTGACAGGCATTCATCCTAATTACATATCCTGAATAATTGTCAGTAAATATATCTTAATATATTTGTGTAATTTTAGAAAATATAACGCTGAATTTTTAATAATAAGCAAATTTTAAATGTATGACACTGCGCAAAAAAAAAAAAATTAAGATTGTTCACTCGCATGTCTAGCGCACGCTTTGGCTGGCTGCCAACTTTCTACGAGTTCTTACAAAGCAGCAAAACAAAGAACAATAGTTTTATAATGTCACTCTATGTATTATTTACTTAGCAATACAGCGAAATAAATGATGTTGTTGTCGTTGGCCATTAAGGCAAGGGGTGTGATTGTTCTTGTTTCCCTGTATCGCCGTCTATTTCCAAGAGTTCGACTTCTGCAACACCCGTACCTCACACCCGTTTATATGGTGGACCCATTCATTCATCCACAGAACGCAATTTTGACCTGAACCAGGGACCGATTAATCTCCAATTCAGTACCCTCAGCGATAATTTGTTATGGGAACATGGGGGACTGTGTGACCCAACAGGTTTAACGTGCACCGGTCATCACTTACATCACGGGGAGTATTTGGCTGCCTGGATTCAAACTCCTATTCTCAGGAACGAGAATCCAGCACTCTGCCAACCAGGCTATCCCTGTCTTAGCAAACTAAATTATATCATATTTTCGAATTCTGCTATAATATGCTATTATATGCTATATATGCTATCAGTCAACATTCTTATTCTAAATTATATTTTGTGTTCAACTGACTTTTATGAGTCAAAATTTCAAATATAACTGTTAAATAATACTTGATCAGCGAAACTTTTATTGATAATTTTTTTTCTTATATTGCTTTATATAAAGAGTTTTCTGATAAATTTTATAGTCTTTATTTTAAATTCCTAATTCCTAATTTTTTTGTTATAATTAAGCCAATTTAATAGAAATTTCAATTGAACTTGTTAGTTTATAAAGGATATTTTATAAAAGTCATTACTCTAGTCATCTCTCATTATATTCCAGCATTTGTAAATTCACAATTGTCATACATTATTCACTTTATGAAATTGTATAATGAAAGTCACACTATATTTTGTAAAGTTGAATTTTCATAATTATTGAGTAAAAATTTTAAATGCAGCAAAAAAAAATTTTATTTCGTAATTGAAATTTTACTTAGTACAAAACCTGAAACAAAACCCAGCCTCCCGTAGAAATTTTTTGAGGGAATGAAACGAAGAAAACGTTCATTATTTTATATATTAATTAAAATATATATATATATATATATAAACATNACACATCATTAATGGTAGGTTGTTAGTTGGTAGGTAATAGGTACTGGAAATGAAATGTTATTAATAGTTTGTATTTACACTATCAGTCGAAAGTTTGCGAAAATTTTGAAATCTACAAAGAAAAGATCTAAATTCAAATGTTCATAGAACTGCGAAAAATCACTCAAATTGCATGAAAATTTGATATGTTCTAAAGTTACCGCTGTTCTAAAGTTAAAGTAACTACTACAGTTAGTTACATATGATCAAATTTCAATACTTTGTTTTTTGCGACTGAATCTAGATTTTCATCATGGGGATTTTCATCATCACTTTTATGGTGAAAAAATTTGTTAAGTTCGAACACTTGCCAAACTTGCAAAAAAAAAATGTACTTTCTGTTAATGGAAAATAGTTATTTGAACCGTTCTATGTAAGACCTCAAAATTTCAGAACAATTTGATATTTTTTTGACAAAGTTATAGAATTTTGAAAAACATGAGTACTTTTCTCGATTTTTGAGCATTCCACAAATGCAGTCTTTCGGTCCATACATCTTCTACCAAAGAACTTTTTAATTTTAATGTTTTCTATATTTTCAAATAATTAATATAAAACAAATAATTAATATAAAACAAGTATTCTTGTTCATTATGGTAATTATTAGTTTTTATGTTTATTGTCTATATTTATTGCTTATGTGTATTAGTTTTGTTGTGATATTTTTACTTTACATTAAATTAAAATAAAAAATTATAACAGTAATTACATAAATAATTCTAAAAAATCATAACAATAGTACAAAAAATTTGCATTTTTACTAAGCTATTTTATTTATAACAGGTCAATTATTTAACATATTCTCATTCGTATTTTGTAATTAAATAAATTAACATTTAAATCTTAGATTCCTCGAACCATCCACTTTTTGCTTTTATTATAGCCTTACATATGCGTGGCATTCGTTCTAACGAACCATTAATCACTTCAAGTGATTTAGAGTTCGTTTCCTGTTTAAAAATTTCCCATAACTGATTTCGATTCGAAATATCAGAGTATCGAATTTGTCGATAAAAATGATCCCATAAAAGTTCAATCGGTTTACAATCAGGACTCAGAGCTGGCCACGTCAGAATTTTCGATCGGCCTTCGTTTTCTTCTTTTTTTGTTTTTTAAAAAATAATTTTTGCGTAATTTTGACGTGTGCTTGGGATCATTGTCTTGCTGAAATACAAAATTTGGACTGACAACTTTTTCACCCGAAGGAATAGCATGAAGATGCAAAATAGAATGGTACTTTTTTTGGTCCATTATTCCATCTATTTTAATTAACTGGACTTTTTTCTTTGGGGATTTATAAAGGACAATGTTTACAGAAGGATTGTGTCAAACATTGATGACCTAAAAGCCAGAATTACAGCCGCAATAGCCTCTGTGGATGCCGACATGCTTGCCGCTACCTGGCGTGAAATTGACTATCGGCTTGATATTCTCCGTGCAACGAAGGGGGCACACGTGGAAGTTCATTGACAAGGGTCATTGTGACATCGAGTCACACGCTAATCTAAAAATCCTGATCCAACTCTGAATGCGCCCCTTACAGCCTTAGTGCAATTGGGACACTCTCCCCGGTAATTCCACAAATTCCATTCTCATCCTTTTTTCTTGGAAAAGTGGTATCTGTGATCTCCACATGAAGGCTACGAGTGTAGGAGTATTCGTAACCGCAACACTGAGTTTTCCATCAGAAAGTGGGAATGACACAAAAATAATAATAGGTATAACACCTCAACTTTTAAAATTAGGGAGTTGGACTTCAACTTTCAAGCACTTGTATAAATATTTGAGCGAAAGACGCTCATTTAAGCATTCGATACTTAGTCGTCAAATAATATTGCGGCTCACCACTAATAGGAGTTTTATTTTTCTTTCCCTCCTCGCTGAGGTGGGGAATTTTTTTTGATGGAGAAAATGCGTCATTTTGCGCCATCTTTATATTTTTTTTTATCAAATTGATTTTGGAATCTTCTATGTTAGTCATTTTTAACAACCAGCTTGTGATCTGCCATGCAGTGACTTAGTCTACAAAATGTTTTTTTATGCTTGATCATGCATCTCTTTTAATGTGATAAATTGATCTTAATTGTAAATAGAAATTTTTTGGGCCGACCATGGATTTGCGTTAAAATGAGGCAACACCGGCGAACTTGTCTTGAGCTTATCCAGCCAAGTTGGACGGAGAATGCTGACCTAACCCCGCTCCGATGCTTCCTTGAAGATTTGATATCAATCCCTTTGTTTTGCTTGGGACTTGTTCAGTCTCAGTTGAAACCACAAAACTTCCAGTCACTCTTAACCACCACACTCTCCATCCGATGTGCCGTCTCTGATTTTTTTCTGATGACGCCATTAAGCTAATATGAAATAAAACGAACTTTAATTCATCTTAACACGTGACTCTTTTTTTAGTGAACTATTAGTTTCTTTAGATTTAGAAAAGTGACCTACTCTCTCGATCAGCTACATAATAGGTATGTGTCCTTTTTGTTTTTATTCAGTGTTGTTGGATTAAACAACGCCTCTTAATATGTACTTCCACTGATAGATCATGTGCCATATTTACAGTTTACTTTTGTCAGTTTTTTTTTTTTAAATTCAACTTTTTTTAGTTTTCTTGTTAAATATAAATTCTTTAGTACTTTTTCAATACCCAACCAATTAAACAGCACAGTCATGAAACTTTTTGAGTCTATCTTTATTATTTTATGAGGTACTAAACATCAAAATGGGTCTGGGACTTAATAAACACCCTGTATATATATATATATATATATTATACCCATGTAAAAATAAATTTTACATGGGCTCAACAGAAATTTTTAATTCTTCGATAATTTAATTAAAGCTAGTATGTAATAAACCAAAAATTTGTTTCGAAAAGAGCCAGGGAAGCATGTCACAACTAAAGCCAAAACACTGACAAACTTGCACATGTCAATCAAAGAGGCCGACAAACAGGGGTGCAATTCGACAGGCGAGCAGAAAATTTTGATGCCACTTACCCTACAGAGGGGAAAGTGTACAATTGCAGATGGTAACTCCGTGACCGATGTCATGTAACCAACCTTTACAACTACAGATTCTGAAGAGAGATTTTGAGCAAGCCGATTGGACTTCTTTACAACGCATTCTATGACGTATGACCATTTCATTCCGCTATAATTGTTATTTTAATCATAGAACGTTTTTGTACCAAAGCTGTTTTTTCAAACTTGAAAAGTCAATTTTTTTTTATAACTAATTGGAAAAATGGGTCTTGGTTCGGATTTCATGGCCTCCTCACTTTTCACTTACAATAATCAAGAGTAATAGTAAACAGTGCGCATGCGTTGCTATGGCAACTACTGCTGTTTGATAATTTTTTCAGAATTCTTTTTTTCACTTTTAATTTTGTTAAGTTTGCCGCATTAAGTTGGTGAGTTTATTTCTGAGATGTGGGACCACAAAGATCCCATAAATACTTCTTTGAGCTGTGAATAAAAGAGAATTTCATCATTTGAACGATATTTTTGTTTTTATTGTTTTAATTAAGAATCAAAAATTCTAACCTAGAGTTCAAACTGGATCGTTTTCAATACAAATTCAGGTGAATATCACAAATAAAGAGGATCCCAAACTGATTGACACGGTCCCAAAAGTTAGAGTTGAAGCAAGAAAAAAACGATGCCGGCCTAAACTTACGGAGGCTGAAAAAGCTAAAGAACGTAGACGGGAATACCGTAAGCGTAACACACAAACGGAAAAACGAAAGGATTCTGTCCGCGAGCATGAAGCCCGACCCTCACAAAAGTACTAAAGTGGTTGAGAGAATTGAACCCTACCGAAGAGCGAATGATGACTCTCCGAACCCCTTTCATGCAAATACGAGAACTGGGTGTTGATCACCAGTTAGGATAAAAGGATCCATTGTGAACGTACCCAATAACTTGTCCAAGACCGTAGACAGTCTTCCACGCATTATAAATGATTCGTTCACTATTCATGTAAAATTGTAAAAAAGCCTAACTATCAAATCATATTTCATATATGAACTTGTGAATTCGAAAGGGGTGTATGATGCAGCTTATAATCTCCCTCAATATGTCTGCAATACGCTGCATTTAAATATGTCTGCGAAATTGTGTACCGAGTTGTTCAGGTTTAATAGTCAAAGATTTCCAAAATGTAAAAACTCAAAGCTTGTTTTCCAAATAAAAATTAGAGAGCAACCATTTTACCAATGGTTAATCTGTAATCGCCTTGCGGCGATCCAAATTTTTTTCAATTTGTAGTGATTAGTATTTTAATTTTATTTCCGAAGAATAAGTACGATTTCGCTAATTTTGTTATATTAAAATTGTGATGGAAGTAAAATTTTATGTCTTAATAGTAAAATAAATTCTCTTTTGGACTTAGGATTTGTATATAAAATTAGAATTAGTCATAACACAACAAAATATTTTTTTTTATTACAGTGTAAGTTGCCAGCTAGGAAAATTTAAATGCTAAATAAACAAAATTGTCTATTATTTGAAAAAAATCAACAACGATATAAGGAATGAAAACCTTGAATCTACCACTAAAAATATAATAAAAATGATTATTGTAATTATACAATTTTATAATATGATCAAGTCCTTGCCACGGGCAGTAATTGTCCAAAAAATGCAATGTGAGTGCAGCGTTAATTGGAGGAAAAATTTGACGACGAAAGATATTGGTTTTGTTATTAAATATACCTATTACATTTATAACAACGACCAACTAATTTCAGCGTAAATGTTTTCATAAATGGTTATGGTGAATACATTAAATAAAATAATAACAGATAATTATCCTTGTTTAAGCAAACTTTATAATTTCAAGCAAATTTTCTCGATATGGAGCGAAATGTTTAAAAAATAAAATTTACATTGAAAGGGTACTAACTAACGACCACTCTCCGGCCTAAACTATTATGATCATATTTTTCAGATTACCGCTACCCCCCTCCCCTTATTATGAGGATCAAGAGTCTAAATCCATTTTCAGAAGAAGAACGCATTATATCTGGTTTCATAGTTAAAAATATCGTCGGTAATTAATTAACATATTTAATGTTAGTCTCTTGAATCATTAAGTTTGAGTCCCATTACGTAAAAATCCGATCACTAAGGGAACAAGAACGTTTTGCAGAAAAGTTATTCAGAATATTTTTGTGCACTGTACGAAAGATAACTGAATTATCAATAAAAAAGGGATTTTATATTTGGTGTATACAAAATTGATTAAAAAGTATTTCACATTTTATAAATCTACCTACTGAAATAAAATAAAAATTTCTCACTGAATTTAATTTTAAATTTTTATGGACATGGATCATTGCTACGCCACAGTAGGTGATTCACGGCTAATAGCATAAATTTTTGTGAAACGTTTAAGGCTGTGCATTGCGGCCAAAGGTGGTCGCATTCAAAGGTTGCGGTAGTTTTATCATACTGTTTTTAAATGTTATGGTCATTTGATACATTAACTTTTGGTATTTAGTCTCAAAATGAACCGTGTATAACAAATTCATACCACTTTACCTAATAAAAATGTGTGTAAAAATAGAAAAAAGAAGAACATTAAAGATAACCCAAACTGTGTTCAACAGAACTTTAATAATTATATATGACATTCGGTTTTAAAGCAAAGAACAATACAGTGAAATACAGTTTTACAATTTAATTACATACTAGATAGATACCTAATCTAATAGCTTTTCGTCATGAAGCATACTTAAAAAAATTGGCCTATTTATTTTTATATTGTCCTGTGATGATTGTCTAATATGATTATCCCTCTGTTGTTTCATAATAATTGCCCAATAAGTTTTTTTATGGTCTCATAATAATTTACTTAAGTAATCTTTTGTCCCATGTTGACATAATCTTTTACTCAGTTATCTTAATAAAACTGCATGTGGTGTTTTCTCTGGCTTGTTTCACAATTGCCCGAAAATCGCTCTTCTTGTTGTCTCATATTGATTGAACAAATTACTTCTCCTTCGTTGTCCTAATCCATCTTCTTTTGCTGTCCTATTCCATCTTCTTTTGCTGTCCTAAGATTGTCTGAGATGACCTAGTTTGACTGTAATGATAAAACAGAAATAATAATGCAGATCAAACAGCTTTATCACTGCAGTTCGATAATAAATTGGTCATCATGCCGAACTTCAGTCATAGATACCAGCAATACATCATTATGCAAAACGACTTTTAGGGTTATAATAAATAAAATATTACTGTATGTTATGCTTTTCAGTTCTATCAAGTTCCTTGGGCCATGAATTATGAAAATTGATAATTTCGATTATTATTAATCGTTTGAGACCAAACACTTTTATCGCCAAGACAAAACTATTTTTTTACAAAACTCGCATAATACTTTTATTAACATAGGAAGAAAAATTTTGTGTGGAACTACCCAAACTATACTGAGAGTTTTCGTACTTCTATGTGGCACTACAAATTATTTACACTATATAGTTTCTAATGATTTATGTTCTATAGCTTATTATAATGATTTTTTTCTATAAATCACAGAACCAGCATATTTAAGAGACATTACTCCACTATTTAAATAAAGCAGTGTTATCTCTAGATTGCTCTAAAAGTTAATGTTTGTTTTTCCAAAATCTGTCACATAATTGATCTTCAGAATTTCAAACTCTTGCGAAATGCACTTCTTCCTTATCATACAGAATTTTTCTTAATCGTCTGCAGAGTAACTTTAATTCTCTTTTCTAGAACTTATTTATTTTAGTTGATGAAGTAGACTTGGGAAATGCTCACATTCCGCGATACTTCAATCAGAATCATTGCAAGAAGAGGAACAAATTAAATAGTTCTGTTTTCATTGAAGATGAAGAACTTTATTCAGAATGACTTGAGGAACAGAATATAAAACTTTAAACTATCTCACCATACGAATATCACTTTATGCATTCAGAATTGTTTCAGAAATGAAGAATATGTTTCAAAAAATTAATTCAGAATAATTCGAGATACAGATTAGAAACTCATAAAATTGTCTTAATAATATCAGAATATAGTTCAATACATTCAAAATTATTACAGAAACATGGAATATATTTCACAAAAATTTTATCAAAATAATTTGCGATAAAAATTAGAAGCTCTTAAAATTGTCTCAATATCAGAATAAATACAATATATTCTGAATAATTTTATATGTAGTTTAGAAGCCTTACATTTTCTTAGTATGATAATATTAATGAATACATTCAGAATTGTTTCAGAAATAAATAATATATTTCAGAAATTTTATTCAGGAGTGATTTGAGATACAGATTATAAGTTTTTACACTTGTTTCCCTTTAGGACTGTCGTATATCGCATACAGAATTTGAAACAACGAATAATTTCGAGAAACTATGTATCTGAGATGTAGATTAAAAACCCTTTAAATTACATCACTCTTAAAACGTCCCTAGATGCATTCAGAATTGTTTCTAAAACAAAGAATACATTTCAGAAACTTCATATAGAATGATTTTATAAAATGGATTATAAATTCTTAAAATAGTTTTATTATGGAAATATCGTTCAGAATTATTTCAGAAACAAAGAATAAATTGCATGAACTTTAATCAAAATAATTTAAGATATAGTTTAGAAGCCTTTAAAATATTTCCGTATAAAAAGATCGCTAAATGCATTTAATATAGTTTCAGAAATTTCATTTAGAATTATTTGAGGTACAGATTGAACTCCTTAAATTATCTCCCAAAAGGAATATCGATAAATGCATTCAGAATTGTTTCAGAAACTATGAATAAATTTTTGAAACTTATTATAAGGGTATAAAGATTTGAAATTTGAATCATTCAAATATGAAATACGCTTTTAATAGGACGTTTACCACACTTGCATTGAGTCACTTAAAAGTTCAAAATCAAAAATATAAAACACTAATTCAATTTTCTCGATGTTATTTTTTAAGGAGATTATTAACGCTCAGTTAATAAACTCGCTGGAATAGAGTATTGAAATTAAGAATGCCTAGCCGAATAAAATCATTTATTGACTGAAGGGAATATTTCATAAAAATATATAAAAAATAAGAATTTTGTTTAATTGACTTTTCATTGACTCATTTTTTAAGCGTTATAAATCATGAAATTACAGAAGCTTTAAATTGTACAGATATTCTGCATGATCTACACACTGACTTGATCGATTTATAAATCATAAAAAACAGTTTGTTCAAACAAATAAAATGCTCTAAATTGAAACTTTCATTGGGATTCGAGATTAAAACTTCATGATCAAAAGTTTAGGGAGCAAATTTCATAGCCAAAACTTCTCAAGCCAATAATTCGCGGATACAAAATTTCTCTGGCACAAAAATCCACGCCTATTTCTGGTAAAATAATATTATGAATTTCAAATTATTAAAATTATACTTTTATTAATATTAAATTATTATCAATTTGAACTTATTAAAATTACATAATAAGGAAAATATTTTTTATGAAAACTAATGCATGAATTAATTGTTAAATTTATTATTAATTATTAATTTAAAATTATGAACTTGTAAAGTTGTTCACGCAAAGTTTCATCCTCGTGAAGTTTTGCTCTCAAAGTTTAGAGCGATGAGGTTTCGACCGTGAAGTTATAACCGATTACAGCTCGATCATTCGTCTCGATAGAATCTTCATAAATTTGAACAGATAGCTGTTTAAATTAGATAAATAATAAACCAAGTAAAATCAAATATTTCGCTCATGGGCAGCAATAGCGGCACAACTCAAAAAATCAAGTTTTGAGATAAGTGGGTTTAAAGTTTTCATTGCTAAGAAAAATGCATAAGAAATGTTTTCCTTTGCTTAAGCGATGATTTATCAAGTTGAATTATGAGTTGTGCAAGTATTGCTGCTGAAGGAATGTGTATTTTCATATTTACACATAGTCTTAGTCCAAAAGGCGTGTTTTTTGAGTCGTGCTATTATTGCAGTACATGAGCGATTTGTAAATGGTTGAAAACAGAGTAAAAAAATGAATTTACTCGTAAAAAAAAAAAGCAGTTTTACTACATTGTTATAATGAAAATCTAATACTATTCAAAACAAAGCATTTTCTTAACAATGAAACAGTAAAGAATAGTAGAGAATTTCACTATTACAGCTGAACAGTTTACGATTCAACAATACATTAACACTATACAAGTTCAGAGGTTACATGTTTAAAAATTCGTTCTAAATTTTCACAAAACATTGATTTATTACATAGCATATTTAATTATACACAGTTAAAACTATTGGATTTTTAATAACAAATTGATAACTTTAATCTATAGTATTATAACTATAATTTATAGTTTTCACAGTTATAGTTTTTAATAAAAGCACGTACTTATTGAATTGTGTTATATACTGAAACCATTATTATGTGAGCATTATTGCCATCATATCTAACAACAAAAAATATAAATTTAGTTTTAACAGAATGCATTCCATTAAAAAATACACATTGTATAATGTTTTTTGTTATATATTAATGTATATATTTCTATTAATTAATTCATATTATAATATTTAATGACACAGTTTTAGAAAAATTATGCTTCATATTGCGACAGGAGATTGCTTATTGATATATTTTCAAGGAAAAATTAATTAATCTATCTTTAAAATAAATGAAATAATTTGCGGAATGATACGCATCACAATTTTAATTAAATATCTATAGCATAGTTGTTCAAAACACAAGACAATTTTCAATCAGCAACTGAAACGCGTTTTATATCAGACAATTGATAAATCTTATTTAATTTTTTTAATTAAAAATTTATGAAAAATTAATTAAGGAAAGAGTATTAGGTAGAATATAAAAGTAGAGTATCAGGTAAATGCATGAGATAAAATAAATAGGTAAAGATAGGTATCAAGCGAAGGCTTAGTGAAATGTCATGATAAATATTAACGAAATTTCAGTTTATTTTAATTACTAACTATTTATTTATTTTACATTTTTCTAGAAAATTTAAACATATATTTTTTTTAATTAAATTTCTTTTTTTTCATAATTGAAATATAGCACGATATATTAAGAAACAAATATATGGATCTGGCACATTTTCCACAACACTCGGTATCCCGACAGCTTGATTTTCCAACTTCATTTGCTGGACAACTCATTTGCCCAGCAGGTACGTTTAATAAACAAGTTCATTAATAGACAAGTTTATTTGCCCAAAAACTGCAATGAATTCGACAAAAAATTACGAAAACCCTAACTGATTGACACACATAATTGAGTTCATTAATCATTAATTTCTGAAAAAAAGTTTTACCTTTTTTATGCTTAATGACTGAATCAATCGTTTATTGTAAGGAACTAGAAAATATATGAACTTTTCATCATAAATCAGATACCCCTTGAACTCGGAGATATCTGCCAGCTAAACAACCAGAGCTAGCATCATGTCTGAGTTCATGATGGATTCTTCTCAATCTTTAGATCATACAATAAGCCAAAAGAAAAGATAGCGACGTAAATAGTTTTTATACTAAAGTTCAGATTTTAGCTAAGTGCCTGACAAATTTTTTTCAAAGTGTTGTTCTCAAATACGCTGACTAATGAGTATACTTATTATTGTTTCAGATAGAATTTCTTCTTTTTAGTTTAAAAATATTTCAAGAGAAAGGCGTTTCACATATAAATGAATAACTTATGAGGTCTAGGAAGGTATGCGCGCCATCAATGATTTCCGAAAAATGTAACATATATTTTCATTTTTAAAAAGGAAATTACTTTTTATTTAATAAAAATCTTGGAAAATTTATGTGTAATTTTGCAAGACAATATTATGATTTTCCCTGGCATTGATATTTTAAAAACCAATTTATATATTTTCTGAAAAATTAAAAAGGTACGCAGTTTTTTCAAAGGAGCAAAATTTAAGTATTATGACCAGTTCAAATGCAATGGGTAGTTTTTGTGTAGTTCCTAAAACAATAAGATTTTTTTTTTATTATAATACTTTCGTTTTAACATGATTAAATAATTTTCATATACTCTACTTATTTCTGCTAAAACCTTTTTAGCGTGATTTTAATTTATTTTTGTGCCTAAACTTTTAAACCCTACACGAAATTTTTAACATATTTTGAATATGAAGTATATTTTTCGATTTATTTGAGGCGTATACTTCTGGAGAAAGTTTGATGCTATGCATATTTTTTTACGATATTTTTAAGAAGTGAAATTTCGCTAGTAAGAAACATTTTTTTTAAAATTTCTAAATAGTTTTAAGAATAGCCTTCAGATTCTTGATCTCTTTAAACTGAATGTGCTTTACAATATATTCAGATGAGAAAAAACGAATTTAAAACTTACAACAGATTTGGAGAAGATCATATTGGCCCAAAAAAAAAAGATGCTGAAAAATGTGATTAAACTTAGAAAAATAGCTCTTAATTACGTTCCATATTAAATAATTAAAAGATTAAATTATTACCATTTTTAACATGACATTTTTAATACATAATGCATTTATCACATTTATCTAGAAGGTTTAGAAGATTTATAAGTGATATAAATCTTCTAAACCTTGTAGATAAATGATAAAAATGCATTTAATTTGTAATTATTTTTATTCCATTATTGACTTCATGAGTACAGAGCGATGCCGTGTCTAATTGCAGACCTAACCTAAATTACATAGATTATCTGATTATAATAAATGTATTTTGTTATAAACAAAGTTGTATTAAAATTTACAAAGTATTTCAAAGAAACCTTGCTTGTTTGAAAATGTTGAATAACTCAAATGAGCAAGTAGTAAGAGTTTGGAAATTAAAATAAAATATAATTCCAAGAAAAATAATCTCTCAGTATTTACATGGAAGTTGAGATGTAACAGCATTTCGAAATAAATTTCGAAATCGAAGCAAATTGTATTCTTCATTGAAATTTAAATAAACATTTGTATTTTTTTTTCTAAAAATGAATGAAGCTGGCATTTGGTGCCTCTTTTTTAATTTTTGAGAATATATATAAAATTAAGAATACCATTGTTTTACAATATACCCTCAGAATGGTTTAGATATGCTATCTTGTGCCCAAAGGATGAATGTGCATTAAGAATATCTTATCAATAAGGTTATTCTAAAGTAGTAAATCATCTTTATTGATGATATAATTACTGCTACGAACTCTTTAAAGACAGAAAACTTATATTTTTCACTTTAAAGACATTCTTTTTTCCTATATTTCCTCTGTTATGTTTTTTTTTCTTCTAAAGGATCTATTGTATGAACCGCATTGATATAATGAAATTAAAATAGAGCAGAGTTGATTTCCAAAATAATAATAATGATAACTTCATGCCTCCCCTCCCTTAAGAAAACTTCCTTTCGATACCTTTGATAAAGATACTTTACGTTATTTATATAAATATTGTTAAAAAGAAAGATCTCATTTAAGTATTCAAAATTTTCTACGATTGAGATTTTCCTTATAGCTCATTAACATATAATTCATAAACAAAAATCGCGCTCTTCATTTTCATAACCGTAATTCATTATTGTAAAAAAAAACTTTTTTAATTTTTGTTTGTTAGAACTTATATTTACAAGCAATTGCTACCTTTGGAATTTATGTTCCGCTTTTTTTCTTTTTAAGTGTGCATGAATTCGGAAAAAAAAATATATATATATTTTTTTTAGAATTGTGAATATTATATTACGCCAAAATATTTCATTTAAAACGCATAGATTTATTTTTTTAAGAAAAAAGGTTTTAAACTATTTCCATCACCAAACATTAAATATCAGGCTACTACTAATTATAAGATTTAATAAACTTAGCTTGAGATCCATTAAAAGGAAATTGGTTATTTAACATAATTGGACTACATTCGGAATGTTTTCTCAAAGCAGTAATGTTCAACATAACTTTGCAGCTTTCTGTCAATCGGATTTTTGGAAAAAGTTATTTGTGGTTCATTCGGTAAAACCAAGCTTAGAATTCCCCTAACTTCTTCAGGTCTTAGCGAAGCAAACTCATTCATATAAGAGCATAACGTGTCCATAAATTTACTTTCATTACCGCTATGTATGGCTTTGCGTATCTTAGAAAAAACATCAAAAGACTCCAAATTTTCCGAACCTTTTTCATTTAATAAATTATTCAATTTCTCTGTTATTTCCAAAGCCTGAACCGTCGCATCGTAAGGAGAATTTACGAACTCCGAGTTCGAAACATATTTCTCGTTAGTAAATTTGCGAATGAGTAAGTCTAGCAAGAGCAAAGCACCACTGACATCAACATTTGCGTGAGTTTTGAATTCCCCAACTTTCATGTCTTCATTCAGTTTGTAGCGATCAGCTAACCGCTTAGCTCCAGTTTCGGTGTGATGTTTTTGGGGAAAGTGTCTACTATATTCCATAAACTCTTCGTTTTTAGGCTCTACATTCGAATTCCTTTTTTTAAATTTATACCTTTCGCAACGACCTTGCTCAACCAAATAATCAAGCATGAAATTCTTTTCCTTCGCTAATTCACATGATCGGGAATCTACATCCCTGACGTGCGAGCCATCCGGCAATTTCTGACGATAATCTCCCTCAAGCATTACTATATCTTTAACAGTTTCACTTTGTTTGTTAAGTATTGCTATAGCAAGGGGTGTATAACCTTCGGCAGTCATTTTGTAAGCTTTTGCATTGCCAGAAAGCATCAAGGTAGTAACTCCTTGCTTCAGGCCTGCTTGAGCAGCTAAATGCAATGGCGTCTGCTGATCTACATCGGGCTCATCTGCAGAGATTTTTTCCTTCGCCCCTTTCCACAGTACCAAACCATCTACCAGATCATCGTGTTTGAAATAGGCCGCAAAATGAATCGGAGTCCATTTTTTATCCGAACCAGGAGAGTTTAGATTATCAATACCGAATGAGATGAAACCACTGAACATACCGTTATACCCTTTCATTGCAGCATAGTGAATGGGGGCCATGTTGTTTTTGTCTTTTGCGTATATGTCGCAATCTTTTCTGCGCATTAAATTGAAGGAATTGTCAATCGAATTCAACAAAACTGCGATGTGTAAGGCAGTTAGTCCTAGCGTATCCTTAACATTAACATCTACCTTATTACTATTGATAAACTGTTCAACAATTTTGGTGCTCAAAGAATTGTCTGAAACAGCGATGTGCAGAGCAGTTTTTCCGGATTTTTCTACCTCGTTAGGTTTGATTTTGTCACTAGCTAATAAATATTCTACACTTTTCTCGGACTGGAAACGCACTGCTAAATGCAAAGGTGTTACATTATATTCATTAGTTTTTGCATTGACGTCAGCACCTTGTTTTACGAGCTCGCGAACGAAATCATCTCTTTTGTTTTCAGCAGCTATGTGCAAAGGAGTGTAACCTACCGAATCCTTCTGATTAAGGACTTTACGATCGACTTCTAATATTCGCTTCAGCATATTCACTCTTCCGGCTGCAGCTGCTGCGTGAATCACGCTTCTTTTGTTTTCAAAAACGGCAGATACGCTTGCGCCAAGACCTAAAAGTTTATTCATATTCGACAATATACTGTTATCATTGTAGGAGTTTTTAGAAGCCAAATCATATAAATCTCTATCAAGATCCCTAAACTGTAACTGAGATCCAGAAATAATGCGAACTACTTCCGGTGCATTGTTATCAAATTTCCGAAAAACTATTCTGTTTTTCTGGTTCGAATTTCTAATTGATATCTGAGGGTTAGCAATGTCGAGTACTTCTTGAGTTACCCATTTGCTTATTTTGGAATACTTACCACCTTCCTCGAACTGAAGTGCGTAGCTAACTTCGACTCCTCTTTCCCAATCTAAAAAGTTCGTTTTACTTACTTTTCCACCAGCATTAAAGATAATGTCAATGTCATTTGTCGGCGTTTCCTCTATTATTTGTAAACTCATCTTTCCAAAGTTTTGTTTTACCGATTTCAAATGGTTAGTTTTGTTCAAAATGTCATTGTACAATTCTTTTTTAGCGTTTTTGATGTCGTGTTTTTGCTGTACTTCTTCCATAATCTTTATGACCTCCTTAACTATGCCATTGTTAGCTGTTGTAAAAATGTGTTTAAACGTTGTAAAATAAAATATGAGGCGATCAAGGTATTTATTGAATTTAATAAGATCTCGTTCCTGGTAATAATATTCGGCAACATAAGTGTACTGATCTAACAAAGAAAAAACAATATTCGAATAAGTAACGGTTCCGAAACTGAGAGCAGATAGAGCATTATAAGCATTCTGGTGATTTATATCTTTGGGGATCGCGTACTTTTTATCGATGATCGAAAACAGCGCTTCGTACAACTTGCCACCCAGTTTAACGTAGTTAAATAAAAGATTATCTCCGATTTCTTGCTCTATAAAATTTACATATTGATCTTTTGGAGCGTCCCTACGATTATTTTCACTAAACGTAAAAGATTTATAAGCTGTGTTTATAGTTGAAACCAATTCATTCACATCTTGCCCTTCGATGGAATCTAAAATGTTCTCAAATCCTCGATCCATCGCAATTCTCATATTTTCTATTTCCGTTAAAGTTTTTTTGACATTGTCAGAAATATCTTTTAGTATTTCTGTTTGCTTATCTAATTTCCGGTTTATTTCGCCTAAAGTTTTGTTCAGTCTCACTTCTAATTCATAAAATGGTACATCAGCGCAATCTCTTTCAATGGAAGCGGACCCCAGCATTCCTTTTCCTACCGCTGCGCCGAAACAGAATCCAGACAGCGCCAATCCCAATCCGGGCAACAATAGAATGCCCGCAACTGCTGCTGCTGTCCCAAAAAATCCCATTAAAGCATCCGACCAATTCATGCCACGATCTAAATCTTTGCACTCAGCGGCTAGTCTTTCAAGATCAGTTAATCTCCTAAAACGCATTAGCATGTTTATATCATTGATAATTGCCATGTTCTCGACAGTAGTATTACTTCTTCCAAATAGTTCAGCCATTTTGACACTATGACTGGATTTCCCAGATGCTAGTCTTTTGATATTTTGTTTTTTAAATTGCTTTGGAATATTCAAGTCCCGAGTAAGCTCTTTACTGTAATGGAAGGACATAATAGTAAGAAAAATATCTATACTTACTTTTCTTCCTACCGAAGATTAAAATGGCCTTTCGGAAAAGGCTGGTGATGACTGTTAAATTTGTTGATATATATATATTTCCTTTAACAAAAGACGACAATTTGAAGGCGGACAAAATGGCAGATTTTAGAAGATAGCAAATTTTCAATGGGTGAAAGTTGACATCGCTTTGTCAGTTATTTGCATAAAACATCTGTTTAAAATATCTCTTCTAAGGAATGTTCATGATCACGACGTAAAATTTTTTATTTTATTAAATATCATAACATTCTGCAGTTGTTTGGATTGTTATCTTACACAAGATTTTCAGGCGATATATACCCATTATAAATATTTGACAGTTGACAATGCTGCTTCACTTTTTTTGCATAAAACATCTGCTTAAGATATGTCTTCTAAGGATCACTCACGTCGTAAAATTTCGTATTTTATTAAATACCATACCATTCGACAGCTGTTTGGATTGTTCGCCACATCAATGACTTGCAAAAGATTTTTAAATCTGTCACATAGTTCAGTGGGTATTTCATAGTTTGTAAGAAAGTATTAAAATATTTTTCAACATCTGTGCATTAAAATGACAATTTCGGATATTCACTTCATAGAAGCAATATTTGAGTTGTTTAATTCTTTTTATTCTGTTTTTCGTTTCACATAGCATTTTACTTATGAAAGAAAACTAATTCTAGTAATTTAACGAGTAATATATTATTTTCCTTTTTTTTAAATTATTTTGCATCAATTTGGATTTTAATACATTATTCATCTGGTCGAAATATTTTTGTTGTTACGATCAGCTTTGAGCATCCTATTCAAATCTAGATCTAGAAGACACTCAAATCTAGAAGGCATAGGATACACAAAAGGGAGAGATTTATCCAAATATAGCTTTCTTTGAATTCATTTTTAAATTTCACTCACTTTTAACTATTTTGAAGCTATAGGCCACTGACAGGGATTCATCCTTAATGATTACATATCCTGAATAATTATCAGTAAATAGATCTTAACAAATTTGCATGATTTTGTAAAATATAACGCTTAGTTTTTAATAGGAAGCAAATTTTAAATGTATGACGTTGTGCAAAAAATAAATTAAGATTGTTCACTCATGTGTCTAACGAATGCTTTGTCTGGCTGCCAACTTTCTGCGAGTTCTTACAAAGCAGCAAAACAAAGAACAATAGTTTTATAATGTCACTCTATGTATTATTTGCTTAGCAATACAGTGAAATAAATGATGTTGTTGTCGTTGGCCATTAAGGCAAGGGGTGTGGTTGTTCTTGTTTCCCTGTATCGCCATCTATGGCCAAGAGTTCGACTTCTGCAGCACCCATACCTCACACCCGTTTATAGGGTGGACCCATTCATACATCCACAGAACGCAATTTTGACCTGAACCAGGGAACGATTAATCTCCAATTCAGTGCAATTAGAGCGAAAATTCGTTATGGGAACATGGGGGACTTTGTGACTCAACTGATTTAACGTGCACCAATTATCATTTACTGCACGGGGAGTATTTGGTTGACTGGATTCGAACTCCCGTTCTCAGAAACGAGAATCCAGTAGTCTGCCAACCAGGCCAGCCCGGTCTTAGCAAACTAAATAATATCATATTTTCGAATTCTGCTATAATATGCTATTATATGCTATATACGGTATCAGTCAACATTCTTTTTCTAAATTATATTTTGTGTCCAACTGATTTTTATGAGTCAAAATTTCAAATAAAACTGATAAATAATACTTGATTAGCGAAATTTTTATTGATAATTTTCTTCTCATATTGCTTTATATAATGAGTTTTCTGCTAAATTTTATGGACTTTATTTTAAATTTACAATGCATTCCTAATTTTTTTTGCTATAATTGAGCCAATTTTTTCGAAATTTCAATTGAACTTGTTTATTTATAAAGGATATTTTATAAAATCATTACTCTAGTCATCTCTCATTATATTCTAGCATTTGTAATCTCACGATTGTCATACATTATTCACTTTATGAAATTGTATAATGAAAGTTTTGTAAAGTTGAATTTTCATAATTAATGAGTAAAAATTGTAAATTTAACAACAAAAAAATTTTTTTTTCGTAATTGAAATTTTATTTAATACAAAACCAGAAACAAAACCCAATGTCTCCCGTAGAATTTTTTGAGGGAATGAAACGAAGAAAGCGTCCATTATTTTAAATATATATATATATATATATATTCAGGGNCTTTTCAAGCGAATTGAAAAACTTTTGCACACAATTATAAAATACATTTATCCAAGAATAGTTCCATGTAAAAAATAACTTTTAGTAAATATTTATAAATTTTTATTATTATAACTTAATAATAATCGAAAAATTTTGAATTGTAAGGTAAACAATTTTTTTTTTTTTTACATTTTAAAGAATGTAATTTTACGTGGCAAAATACAAAAATTGACGGAAATCAATCCAACAGTTCCTGAGAATTTGAACTTTAAACAAATGAATTTTTTAAAATTTGATTTCACAGTAATTATGCGGTTAATTTCTCTCAAATATTATGTATAAAGTTGCGTACATTACAATTCAAAGGTTTTCGGTTATTATTTAAATAAAAACAGAAAATAATTAATATTTACTAAAAGTTACTTTTGAATGGAATTATCTTTGGATAAACGAACTTAATTGAGTTCAAAAATGTTTTAATTCCCTTAAAAAGTTCTTGAGATGTGGTGAAACCACGCAAAAAGTAAAATTAACATTAAAGAGTCCTAACTTTGAACCGCTCTCTTGACGAAACTATTGGAACCATATTTCCCCGATTGCGGCTGCCCCTATATTTTGAGAGTCAGAAATCATTATCTATCGAAAAAAAAAAGTATGTTTATTTAGAGAAGTGCGTTTTTGTGTCTGATTTCATAACTTAAAATATCGTTTGCCCTAATTAATTAGAATATCTAGGTTGCTCCCAAATTGGGTAGACATCGAATCAGAATATCAGAATATACAAATCACTTTATTTGCCGACAAGTAAGAATATGTACGAACAATGACGAACAGACGATAGACACTTAACAAAAATAATTTCGTGAAAATAACTAAAATAAATTATATATTAGCTCAAATAATTCTTCTCAAATGAATTATAATAGTTCATTACTCATTTATCACATTAAACTCGAAAAATACTTGGACTCAGTAATATAATAAACTACTTTTAGAGGACCAAAAATCAACAGTTGCTATTATGCTTCCCAAACTTATTATTACTTATAATTACTATTATTGCTTAGGCAACCCTTTCTATAGATAATATACATATCCTCCCTGCAGAAACTGCCTGGATATCATGTTAACACGGAGACAAATTTTCGAGTGGGCAGCAATTACACCTGATGTTCTGAAATTGGGAATGGTGCCATTTGAGGACAACCAAAGACCTGTTATCTGCAGTCTATCTGCAATCGTATAGAGTTTCAATGTTCTTTGAAAATCCATGGACACGAAAACAACAAGAATAACTTATTTGTCACATTGAATTCGAAAATTCCATGGACTCAGTAGCATAATAAACTACTCTCAACGTTGACGCGTTTAGAACTCCTAAAAAAGAACTGTTGCCATGATGCTTCTCAAATAAATTATGGTAATAAATTACAAATTTATCTCAATAAACTCGAAAAATGCTTTTACTGAGTAAGATAATAACCTACTTTCATCTTTGAAGCTTTTAGAAAGACAAAAAACAATCGCTACTATGGGAACAAAAAATAAATAATAAATAAAATAAAGCGAGTCGTTTGCAGTTACGTGAAAAGGAAATATTGCTTATGTGAACCTTAAAAAAAGGATTGCAATTTCCAACAGAGCCATTAAAATTGAATCCAAGAGTATGGAGATCCCGTGATTAGATAAAAAATCAATTCAGGATAGTCTGTTTGTTTTCCTCGCATTGATCATTGAAATTCGCAGTGTATTAAAAAAAATTAACAGATAAATTAATTTTGATCATGTGATCGGATCTTCACGAAATAAGTTGCAATATCAATGCTAAGAGGGAAAAAACTGATTTCACTAATTAAAATGCGCAAACGATACATTAAAGTATGAAATCAGAAAAGAAAAAAAAATGAGTTCTTTCTTTTAATTCGCACACCTTTTTCTGACCGGATTAGGATTCCAGACCTTTAGTGAAGAAAGTGGTAAAAAGTTCGGATCCAAAATCCTAATTCCAGGTTTAGTGCATTTAGATTGATAAAAATTTGAACAAAAGTAATTGAACAGTTCCTTTTTTTTGTTGTTGTTACTTTGAAATTCTATTATTGATAAACTATTCGCTCTACTCTATTCAAATTTAATATTTAGTCAAATAAAGAAAACGTAGTTTCAAGTGGTGTAAAAAATTTTATGCCTCGCACATCAATTTCTTTTTTTTTTTAATAAATATTAAAATAAAATTATTTTTTTCTTACAATTACCCTTAGATAAACTTTTAAATAGTTTCCAAAATACAGTGAAAATTATATTAAAGAGCAAAATTTTCGACCGCTGTTTTAAATATTGTTGTTCTTTCTAATCCCCAAGAGGTCCATCCCAATTAGACCAATTCCATAAGTCCAAAAATTAATGCTGTTTCAAATAAATTATATTAACCATACCCCTCATATTTTCAGGATAAAAGTTACAAATCCCATCGAGAAAAAAAACATGTTTATTTGTAGAAATAAACTGCATTTGAATTTGCAACTTAAGAAAGACATCGTCAGCAAAACTTAAACACTCCTGAGTGCTTAGTTTTGCTGACAAAAACTTCCAAACCAGTTTATTGCATCTTAGTATTTTTCGCATTATGCATGTAGTGATGACGCATATTCCGTATGCCTACAGAAAAAAAAATAACAATAAATAAATATAGGTAGTTCATTTTTAGAAAACCCAGTTTGTAAGCATCTAACAATTTTTTTTGCTTTTATTTATTTATTTTTTTCAATTTAAATCTTAATAAAATAGCCCGTCATAAAGTTGGTTCTTGCACACATGAAAACATTTTTAGATCCTTTGATCCTTCGATCTCTAACCTTTGAGCTGGAATTAAGCTAGAGAAAACTTCATAGTCACTGACTTATTTTATTCTGCCGGTACGGATAATAATCATTTTAATTATCATAATGATTTAAATAGTTTAACAAAAATGATCGATATTGTTTCGCTAAGAAATTGCACTATTTTCCACTATTTTTAGCATATTATTTATGAATAATATAGAGCATGAAGATAGTTTTCAACATAAAAATTTTCTAAGGCAATAGATCCAAAATTAAATAGGTAAAAGGTAAAAAATATTTTTTGTAAGTATTTATAAAAATCACGAATGTAGAGCTTTTTAATACATTAAGAAACATCAGCGGTAACGAACTTTAAACTCAAATACATTTTTGAGTAAATGTAATTATTTTTGGCACTTTAATTTTGATCAATTATTGTTATTTTGTTTACTAATCTATAAAAATTATTCGACTGGGTTCGACAAATTTTTTTTAAACAGTTTTAATTGAAATTTTAATTTATTTTTGGTAAGCATGGGTGTTAAATTTATAAATATAAGGTAAACTTTAAAAATTTATAATTTTTTTTTTCATAAAAGGAAATTTGGAGCATAAAAATTACAAATCTTTCACGTCCTGATACCAGATCTACAACAAATTGTAATTCATAAATATCAAAAAGATTTTTACATGCATCAATAATATAATTACCTGTATATTTAAAAAATATTTAAAAAATATTAAATATAAAATGAAAAACATTGTTTAATATTGATTTTTGAATGAAAAATCTAAACATTCTTACATTTGCAGCATTATACAAAAAATAAATTCCCACTTAGAGCTTAGCTTAAACTGAGCTTTTAGTTCAAAACAAAGCTAACAATACGCAAAATCTTCATACAAAGTTTCAGAGAATTTTAAATAAATATTTTTTGTAATATGTATTAATGTAAATGAATTTTTTTTTTTTTTTTTTTGAGAATTCATTCTGAGAATTCATTTAAAGTATGTAATTGCCAAAATATGATAAAACTATTTATTTTATATGGATAAAATAATTATAAATCATAACAATCATTCTCAATTTAAGAGATTTAGAAAACTAATGAATAAAATTCAACAATAGGCAGTAAAAAAATACAAATTTCCGTCAAAATTGCCTATTTTTACCAAGTAAGAAGCTTAAACTCAAACTACCATTTTATGCCAACATCATTTCATATTTAAATAAATCGAATTAGAAATAATAATTGACATAAGACTCAGAATTATTTGTCTTTAAATTCTCTGTGAGCAATTGGCTACCTGGTTTAAAAGTGTTAAATACATAGATAAGATGTAAGATAATGTATAAACTTGCAACTCTTCGTATGAAACGGAGTTTGATTGTTTGATGAGCGAATGATGTGATAAAAATTCATATGTCAGAAAAGATAAGTATTTTCGACGTAACGATCACCATAAGAAAGATACCATAGATATTTTGCAGTGAATTCACATAAAAAATAATTCAATATTAAATAAATAGTTTGGATATATTTGGGAACTTTGATCTTCAAATAATAAGGTAAGTGGCTGTAACTTTAGTTTCTTTAATTATTACAGTTTTTTCGTTATTCTGTGTCGAACTTTCCAATACGCTAAGAATGGGAGTCACTGGAGATACTGTAAAAAAAAAAAAACGAAAAATAAAAAAATAAAAAATTAAAAAAACTGCATTATTACTAGAAAACATCTATGAAGCTGTGATTTTATAAACTTTTCTAGTAACTTTATTGCTTTAAACATAGTAAATGTACTATGTTTACTTAGTAAATATAGATACTGACTCAGCAAACATAATATTTACTATAGTTAATGCATTAATATTACTAGAGAAGTTTATGGAATCTCAGGTTTCTTGAGATTTTCTAGTTATAATACTGATTTTCATATAATTTATTATGTTAGTTTAATTGTGTAAGCCTATATAAATTATTTAGCTAAAAATATTAAAATAACTGAAAGTAGTAGTCAGAAATAAAATTGACCAAAAGGAAGTCTAATTTGGTGGAGAAAGGGAAGAAAAAATTGAATTATAACAATTAGAATATGGCAAATTATTCATAAATATTTATAGATGAAGTTAATTTAATTTTTGGAGTTGAACTTACGCAGACTTGCAGTAGGCTTTAAGTAAATTAGTGAGGAGTGTGTGAAATTAGAAGTGTGGAAATGAATTGAATGAATATAATAATATAAGAATTTAGTGGAAAAATATAAAAATGGCCTACAAATGTGTGAAATTTAATAGGAATACAATATAGTTGTAATCCCCTCAAATATCTTAATCTTAATTTCTTAATTGTTGATTAATAAATAAATTGCAACTGCTTAACATACTTGAATGTATTGCGAATTAGTTTATTGCGATGGAAGAGCTTGTTTCTCAATGAATAACTTTAAAAATTGTTTTACAAGGTGTTCCAAACTAATAGTACATACGTTAGGAGTTATAGAGAACAACTAGACAAGCACTAGTTCACTAGACTAGACAAGCACTAGTTCACTAGACTAGACAAGCACTAGTTCTTTGAACTAGCTCAATCTTGTCACCGTAGTCACCGACCAAGCAACAGACGACTGACGCGGAAAGTTCTTTGTATAAACCAGTATAAACTAACTACTCTCATCAATGAATTTGACAAAGTTCCTATTACAGCATGGTACTGATGCAATCGCCACCTACCAGCACAGTTATGATGGTCCGTGATTTTCTTTCTTTGGGGGCATTTTTGTCCTCCTCTCCTAGTAGATTTAAAATACTTGAAATAGCGTATTACATCCAATATCTACACCAGGAACTAATAAAAGGGCTCTGCCTTTATATCTGTGATCTACACAACTGATTCTGATACTCTCTTATTTGGGGAAAATTTATTACCGGTTCGATGTGCACTGTGATACCAAGAGTTCATTCATAGAACCTATTGTTTTAAAAAAAAATTTAAAACATGCACCCAGACTTCTGTAACAGGCTACGTTAAATATCTTAGATCGTCACCGTTAGAAAAGGCATTTAAGTTGAATATTTACATATAGATCACCCACTGTATAATTTAGTAGAATTTATCTGAAAATATGTTATCATTACAAATGTATATTCCTTCCACTCTCTCTTAAATGATTGCCTGATACCCCGATCCACCCCAGCTGATTCCGATAACAACTTATCTTTATATTGCACTAGTATTTCGTTAGATTGTTTTTTTGTTTTCTTTTCAGGTTTCAGACTCTACTAAAAATGAATCATTGAGCGCAGCTATTAATAAATTAAGGAACATTTCGCTATCTTCTTTTCGTAGTTTTATACGATGGAAAAAACAAATTACAGAAATAGCGGTTGTGTCGTAACATGGAAAATAAAAAACATTCACTGCTTGGAGAAGATGGCCAACGTGCATAGCCCATATTTCTTTATCGGAACTACACACAAAATCAAATGGCAGATTGCGACGATGCCAGGAAAGGAAAAATATCATTTCATTTTGGTTAAAAATAATGAAAATACGTGCATTTCTAAAAACTTAAGTGTTAGTTATGATTGCAAGGTGACATGGAAGGCTGGAGATATTCCTGAAGAGGTAGGAGTAATATCTTTTCCGAAATATAAAGAGCGTGATAAACTATGTATTATATCCTATGATTCAAAAGATATCGATACTTCTACCACAACTGTAATATTTCTGTGCTATTTTCGTATTATTTCAGATGATTATAACTCAGTTATAAATCAGTATAAATTTCAGACCGTTGTGGAAGCAGAACACCAAAGAATTCAGTATACAATTCCGAAAATCAGCATTTTAGGTGGTCAACAATTATTCATTCCCGCTCCTTTGGCGTGCAGATTGACTGTGCCATTTGAAATGGCATTGCGCTTACTCGGAACCGATGTTCTCGCTTTTTTTGTCGCAAAGATTTCAGAAAATGGAAACAGAAAAGTGCTTCTTATTTGCAAATTTTCTATTGCTGATGAAAAAGGAAACAATTTGTATACCGAAACTGGCAGTAAAGAATTTATTGATGGTCCTGAACATTTGAAAATACCCAATACTTGGTGTTTACAGATTCCTATTAATACAAAGGTTTTAACGTCAAACAAATCACATACTTTATCTTTAGATATTGAGTTTCTGATATCAGAACATAACACTAACACTTGGAGGGAGACGTTTTCATCCGTAGCGATTGACCAATCAAAAGAGCTTTCATCCAAAAAAATCCGATCATTCAGGCTTGAGGGAAAATACCTTCTTACTGCCCTTTGTGTATGTGGGCTTATGAAACCAGAGCTATTTATTCTATTAGCCCCAATTTTACTTTTCTTGTACTATTATTTCAACTAGAAGCCTTATCTTTAATTTATCTTTTTATTTTGTTTTTCAAAGAAAAAAACTTTAACCATGACAATGTCTTTCAACATGAATTTTTATAATTTTAGTGATGTTTAAAAACATTATTAAAAGAAAGACAGAGGCAACTTTTTTCAAGAATCGTGTGATTCGCTAATTCTATAGCTCAGTGTGAAGTTATGATTTATAGAACTAAAACTATTGCATGCCTGTTGTGGGGGTTTTATTTGTGCTTTATTTACATTGTCTAACTTCATTTATCTATTTTGGAGTATCAACCATCAGTATTTTTTGTAAGTTTCAAAATCCTCAGAGATGAAACAATGTTAAAAAGAAACAATGTTTAAAAAAAATTAGAATTAAACAATGTTAAAATCAATAATATGAAAGTAAAAGAAGGAGGTACATAGACTCAGGCATCCAACCTAAAACATCTAATCGACGATTAAGGACATTAAATCTAGGCTGTAATTTTTATAATGAAATTAAATATTTTAACAGATAAATAATTGGGTAAAGCAAAAGAATGTAATGATTACGAAAAAAAATTTTTTTAAAAATAAATTTAATAAATTAGTTTTTATTAACTATTAAATGGTAAAGTTTAATAATTAATTAAAATTTAAATATTTCTTTTTCTTTACATTTAAGATAAATTAAGAATAATCTGTTCTATATAATTTTTTCCATAGAATAATTCCAGCTCAGCGTAAAATAAAATTTTTAAATGTAAATTTAGATTTATTATAATTGTATATACTTTCATTTTTAATTTAAATATTATTTTCTTAAACTGTGGGTCCCAATCCCGATTGGGGGGGGGGTGAGACCTGCAGCAGGGTTCACTAAAAATTACAGAAATTTTGATATTTCTTTATTGTATTGTAATAATATTATAATTACCAAATGTTTTTACACAATGTAACTGAAAATAAAGATAAGACAATAATACAAGAAAGAAGAAATTAAAACGTTTTGACGCATTTTTGTCTTCGTATTATATTTTGAAGTTTGTTATTTAATAAAAATTTTTTATTGTTCTACGCTTTAAAATTAAAAATTAACCACTTGCGCTAGAAAGACGTGCCACGCACGTCATAATGCTTTTGTCACAGAATCGCCGACGACATGGTGTTTACGTCATCATGGAATTGTTACAGAAACAAGAACGACATGCGTGTCACGTCAGGTGGAACTGTTGTCAGAGTACAGATCATCAGTGCACTGCATAGCGTACAGTTATAAATATTTAACCAACATTCTAAAATGGAAAGCATAACGACATCATTTCCTCAAATAGGAAAAGCAAACACGATGGTAGTGATAGTGACTTTGATAAAAAAAAAAAAAAAAAAAAATTGGAGGAACTANGGAGTCCCTCCGCGCGGAAGAAGTTAAACTTCGCAACCTGCGACGTTAATTGTAGAAGAATCAACAACCGACTAGGGGAAGGACGATTCCATAATGTTAAAAACTTAAAGAGTTTCGTCGGAAGAGTGAAAATAGGGAAAGAAGGAAATTACATTGAGAATATTGGGGATTTTTTTGTTCGCTTCCTTGGCGTACTGGCTAAATTTCAAAGGTTTACCGTCGCCGTTCGCATTTGTTTTTATGTTTATTTTTTGCGACGTTTGCTGTCATTTTCGAACTCGTATAAAATATGTTATTTGTTGAATTTCTTCGTTATGTCTTTATTTTTATTATTGTTATCTGTTTTGCTTTTGTTTTTAATTTTTTTTACTTTAAAGTTAGTTAGATCTTAATATATGTATGTTGCCGGCATTGTATAGAATACTGGATGTTTTTAGGCAAAGTATAAAATGTGAGAATTATACCGGGCAATGGTAGTTGACCTTAAAAAAACATCAGTGTAGGATATACCGGGCAAATACATACCGGGTAATGGCACTGAACCTTAAAAAAACATCAGTGTAGGGTATACCGGGCAGTGGCCCTTAACTAGACCTTGTATATATTTCAGACATTTACCAAAAGTCTAGTCAACTAGACCTAGTATAAGTGTCACTGCCCGGTATACCCTACACTGGTGTTTTTTTAAGGTCAAGTGCCACTCCCCGGTTTATACACGGGGAGTGGCACTTGACCTTAAAAAAACACCAGTGTAGGGTATATACACTGGGGTATAACACCAGTGTAGGGTATATACACGGAATTCTTTTCACGATCCCCCCCCCCTCACGCTCCTCCAACATGTACAGAATTGTTGGAACAGCGACCGATAATTGTCAACAGTACTGAGGTACGTACCTCTCTGCATCAAAAACGTTCTTTGAAGATTAAAAAAAAAAAAAAATCATATCTGAATGTCTTCTCTGTAAAGCCTAATAATCAATTCTTTCTTTGTTGATGACTCGAGTTAAGTTTTTGTTTTTGTTTCAGAAAATCCCGCCAAAATTTGACTTCCAATGTTTGCGCTAAAATGAGGCGATATTTTGCTAAGCTAAAGCTCTCACCAGCAACCTTTTCTCGATATCGAGCTCATTTTCCCCTTTCTAAATTTTTTAAGTCTGTTTGTATTATGGAATCGTTCTGTCCCTAGTCGCTTGTGAAGAACCAGCAGTCGTAGAAGGATCACTTCTATGCAACGACTCTTTTTCCTGCTCCGCTCGCTTCCTAGCTCTATAATCACGGTAATATTGTGCATTTTTCCCTCTTGAACCAGTGGAAGTGCTTGTGGTTGCCTCATCGTCTCGTCCTGGAAAATGTATTTGCATAAAAATGTATGTGAATGAGTCATAATGTAATTTCAGAAGAGAAACAATCAATTGATATTCACAAGAGACGTACCTTGACATAACCTTAAATCCGTCGCCTTGTCCGTGGGATTGTTTTCACTCATTTTTTACAATTGTTATCCACTAAATTTGAAAATAAAAAATACTATCCTATTAAATTATATGTGTATCAAATCAAAGTAAAAAAATATTTATAGAAAAATAATACTTTTATGACTTTTATTATTTTTATGCTGGTGAGAACCAAAACAATATGGAAGTGAATGAGGGAAAACTGGATCCTACCACGTGATTTCCCGGCCAATAAAAATGTAGCGTTAAACGTTTAACGCAACCTTGTTGGAAGTCGCATAAGAAGTATAACTTCAATAATTTTTCCACTCCGAAATTGGTGAGGAATTTTTTCTGATGACGAGGAACAATACATAAATGAAGATTGTAAAATTGATCTTATTCCTAAGGAATGGGTGTGGAAACACGCATCGCACAGTGCCCACTGCAGTCTGAGGCATCGCACACTGCCATCCCAGCGAATTATACTGGACCGTTCTGGTACACGCGTCAGAGATTTTTTTTTTTTTTGCCAGCGCAAGTGGTTAAAGCCCTAAAACTTCAATAGTTATACTACAGTATAAGTAAAAAAACTGATAATTTTGGATTTGTGAAATGCTTATGGGGTCCCCTAATATTTTTGTAAATATTATGGGAACCACCACACGATGTTGTAGTTCATTTACGTTGCACTAGAGCTGCACAATGGGCTATTGGCGACGGTCTGAGAGACATCCCTGAGGATGATCCGAAGACAAGCCATCACAATTTTGATCTTTTGCAGAGAGGATGGCACCCCCGTTTCGGTAGCCCGACGACCTGCACGTGAAGTCGAGCACTTTACTGTAGAACAGTTTCAAACCGCACACCCTCGGTCCCTACGCAGGCTGATTCAAGTGGTCACCCACCCGCACACGACTTCGGTGATCTGCTGGGAACCGTGTCTTAACGATCAGTCCACTGCGGAACCACCACACGAAAAAGTCTAAGAAACTCTGTTTTAAATTATATTGATTCCTCTCCCCTCCCTCCAGTGATTACTGTTCTTTTTTCAGTGGCATCGAATGGAGAAGTTAGCCTCGGGTATGAACACTAGTGTGGTTTTTATTACCATGGGATAAACTTTTTTTCATTAAATCTTTTACTGCACTCTGTTAGGTACCATTTGGTATAAAATTAATATTTGGAAAGTTTCTGCTCAATAAAATAATATTAAGACCCCTGATTTTAACATTAAAAAAAATATTTTTTCCTCCTAACGTTTATTTATTTTATAAGTGGTGACACATATAATGGAGTCATTTTTATAGATAATATTTTTAACTTCATTTTTTATGACAGAAACCTATTTGTAAAACAATAATGGTTTATTAAATCTACGGCTTTTTTAAAATTTGATTTCTAAGAAACTATGCAACCGATATCGCTCAGATTTTGTATATTGGGATGTAAAATTAAGTTCTTTAAAATGATGTAAAAAATTGTATACCGTACAATTCAAAATGTTTTCTATTAATTTTAAATAAAATAATAAAAAATAATGCATATTTACTGGAATTTACTTTTTGTCTTGAATTATTTTAGGATAAATGAAATTTATAATTGTGGGCAAAATTTTTTCAATCTGCTTAAAAAGTTCTCAAGATATGGAGAAATACGATCCTGAGCAAACTATAGGGACCATATTTCTCAGATTGCGATTACTGCCTATATTTTATGGATCAGAAATCCGAATCCGTTGAGAAAAAGGTATGTTTATTCAGAGAAAGTACGTTTTTGTGTCTGATATATATTATAACTAAAAATATCTTCTGCACTAATTAATTAGCATAGTCGAGGTTACCCTCTCGAACCATTAAGATTGAGTCCTAGAACGTGAAGATCCAATCCTTAGATCAAAAGTTATTCAGGATGGTCTGTTTTTTTATTTATTTATTTGCTTATATTTATTTTTTTGGCCCACTGTACAAAACGTGCAAAAGAAATTCCCATTGCTACAATTCGCCACTATATTACATCAAATCTACCTCAATAGTCATCATCACATATTAATTTTGTTGTTGTTATTGTTGTTGTTCATTTACGTCGCACTAGAGCTGCACAATGGGCTATTGGCGACGATCTGGGAAACATCCCTGAGGATGATCCGAAGACATTCCATCACAGTGTTGATCCTCTGCGGAGGGGATGGCTCCTCTGCTTCGGTAGCCCGACGATCTGAGCTCGAAGTCGAGCACTTTACGGTAGAAGAGTTTAACGAGGACCAATACCGCACACCCTCGGTCCCTACGCAGGTTAATCCAAGTGGTCACCCACCCGCACACTGACCGCAGCCAGTGATGCTTGACTTCGGTGATCTGCTGGGAACCGTGTCTTAACGATCAATCCACTGCGGGACACATATTAATTTTGAGATCAGTTTTTAGTTTGAAAGATCAATTTCTAGTTTGATCTATTATAATCCCTCAATTTGAAATTTTTTATAGTTTAGGGTAACGTTTATCAATAAAAATCATGGAAAAAAAAGTACAGATTGATGATGAGCAAGCCAAATAAAAAAATTAATGACATCGAAGATGTTGTTGGACAACTGTTTCTAAGCAATTGCAAAACCCAAAATATATCCTCCAGGGCGAGATTATAAATAATTCTTTTAAATGTGTTAGATATTTCATTTTGTTATATAATTGTTGTTAAACGACTGACCCTTTACTGAGTTTACGACTAGCAATGTTCAACTCCGCAGCCTTGTAATTTTGAACCTTGTAGCCTTGTAATCCAAAAGGGTCTGGAACACTTTTATCAAGTATGAGAAGACATTTGAAGGGTTTTTTGCGGGAACTATCTCGCACTTGCGTTAAATGGAGTAGAAAACCACGCAAACTTAGCATGTTTATCCTGATGGCAAGGGGACTCTAACCAATGATCCGTCTACCACTGAGGATATTTTACGTCAGCACTACAATCGATGCGAGCCAGATGAGGAATTCGTATCAACTAGCCATTACTGGGATTCGTACCCGGGTTACCTCATTGGGAGGCGAGCACTTTACCCCCTCAGCCACCACGGCTCTAAGCTTGATATGTTTTATTTCCGTCATTGAACAGCCGAAACAATTTTGGGTTTACGACTACTAATGTTCAACTCCTTAGTTTTGTAATTTTGAGTTAATCCAGACGACAATGAAACTCCTAGATCAGTAGCCCAGAAGTATGATTAGTAATGGGAACATGAAGGACTTTGACACTCAACAGATTTAACGTGCATCAGTCACCATTTACTACACAGGGAGTCTTCGGAAGGTGAGGATCGAACCCACGACCGGTTGAACGTGGGCCCAGTGCCATACCAAACAGGCTTTCGCTGGCCTATGCTCAATATTTCTTTTTCATATCCGTCGTTGAACAGCCTACCCAATTTTGGGTTTACTACTATTAATGTTCAACTTAGTGGCCTTGTAATTTTGAACCGATCCAGAAGACAAGGAAACTCCTGGATCTAGAGGTATTGATTTGTTATGAAAACATGGGGGATTTTGCGACTCGACAGATTTAACTTGCTACTTTATAATACTATAACACGGGGAATCTTCGATCGGTGGGGATCGAACCCACGAGCTCTTGGACTTAAGCCCAGTGCTGTGCCAACCAGGCTATCTCGGCCTTATGCTTGATATTTAAGAAATTTGTCACAGCGAAGAAGATGTTCTTCAAAGGTCAAACAAAATATTTTTCAAGTGTCATATGCAATGCTAAATGGACGGTAAAAGTCCTCTACTGTTTAAGAATTTTTGTTTATAGATTCGAGTTTCCAAAGATTTGCCATTAGAAGTAAGTGTCTTTTTCTTATAAACATCTATAAAAATTTAGTACCAAATGCTGTACTAAACCTAAAAGACTTGATACAGACCTAAAACTTTGATTTATCGGATGCAGAAATAGTAAAATTAGCGAGAGAAAAGTTTTTTAAACCATTTGTGGTGTATGGATTCTCAATTGACTATGTAGAAAGTCCTGAAAGGGACTTGATAATGCTTTCAACATGATGAACATGAAATAAATTAGTTTTCAGAACAGAGAATAGTTCTCAGAGACTTTTGGAAGTATTATATTTGTTATTTCACATTGTATTATAAATTTTAAATCTGTAATGTAAGCAAGAATTTTGAATAACCTTTTGCTCCCATCAGATGTAAGTTTAAAGAGGAACGGCTCACACACGGAACTAGTGTAGACTCAAAATGTCTCTTCATATTTCGGAAGACTGACAAAAACTTCTGTACAATTTCATAAGATAAATTTAATTGTTAAATATCAAGTTACAAAAATAAGTTTTCACTGTGGAAAGTTTATTTCAAAGTAGGAAGAAAAAAACACCCCGAAAGAAAGAAATTTTTTTTAATCTAACAAAAATAAATAAAAAACTCTTACTCAAAAAGAAATATAAAATATTCAAACTGTTTTTTTCAATAGTTTATAATTGCAATCTATTTTAAATAATAGTGTTGATTATCAAGCTATTTAAAATATCATTTTTAATTGACCAAAAACTGAAAAGCAATAATTTAATTTTTTAAGAAATTGAAGTAACTGAAATTTTACAATATCTAATGTAAATGAGTATAGTTAACCTAAATTTATAATTATTTTAAGAACTCTTAAAATATCATATCCAAGTTTATTTAATACTACTTATAATTACTTTATTTAATAACGCATCCAAACGCATGTTAAAATGTGAGATGTGTGTATAAAAATATGTGAATATTTCTTATAAAACTAATAAGAACAAAACTCTTTTTGAACCAAGCATGCAATACTTAAAAAGAATAAATAAAGCTCTACTATAATAATTGATAATAGCACATGATTTTTTAATTTAGTTGAGATGGTTATTTTACATTAAAATATTTTTTCAAATGATATATTATAAAAGGAAAAGAAGGGGCTACATTAAAAGCAGTTTATAAAATCATGTGAATACAACAGGTTTTAACTTGATAACAAACCACTCGAAGAAGATGATTTCACAAAAAAAGAAAGATAGAATCTTCCAAACAAAATTAATATGATTCGTAATCTTGTTATATTCGTCAAAAGAAATTTTCAGATTTTGATTACGTCTACTCAATGAATGCATAAAAGATAGTAGAACTGCTTGCAATTGCCTAAAAACAGGTATAAAATGCTTTATAATTTATGAAAATTTAAAAAGACATTCATTGCTGAGAAAGATACAGATGCTAATGAAGATGATTACGATAATTTAGAGAATCTCGAAGAAAGTGCAAGCAACAATCATTTTAATTTTATAACGATGGTTGAACAGCCCACCCAATTTTCTGTTTACGATTACTAACGTTCAACTCCGTATCCTTGTAATTTTGAACCTAATCTAGAAGACAAGAGAACTCCTAAATCAAATATTGGGAGAAATTTGCTTCTTGGAAACCATTCTGAATGAACTAATGCGCATTTGCGTTACATGCAGACGAAAACCACGAAATCCTCCGACAGTTCGCCTGACTGCAAAGGGAGTCGAACCTATGATCCGTCCACTACTGAGGATATTTCACGTAAGCACTATGGCCGATGTAAGCCGGGTACGGGATTCGTATCGACCAGCCAAAACGAATCATAACAGTGGCTTTTAAATCGAGGTGAATGCGAAACGCGATATTTGATTTTAAAAAAATCGTTAAAATACGAAACAGGATACGTTATTTCAACACGAGGAAATATAAATCGCGATGTGTGATTTTAAATCATATAACTTTATGAATATAACTTTAAATCGAGTTTGCAATGGTAGGAAAAAGGGTAAAAATGATTTTTTTTAACTCCACTCCCTCTCAAGTGATATTTAATGCTAGTTTGTTTATGAAACCTCTTTATAAAATGAAAATCTAATTTGACTTAATAAATTAAATATTTTTTTTCTACTAAATAAATTTTCCGACTATACTTTTAATATAGTTGGCGAACTGAATTTTTACGAAATAGTAGCATTGTTCGATTGCTATTTATAAATTAAATATTTATTAGACTTGAGTATTAATTTTAAAAAAAAGTTTTGTTTAGATTGTTTACTCAAGGCTGTTTTTTTAAGGAATCGGACGTTTGTAAGAAGGATTTGTTTTTCTAATTTGTCTAATTTCTAATTTTGAAGGATTTGTCTGACTAATTTTTAACACCGTAGCATTGTCATTTTGAACCCAATCTGAACAAGAAAACTCCTTGATCAAGTATTGGGAGAATTTCGCTTCGTGGAAACCTTTTTGAATGAACTAACCGGCATTTGCGTTACATAGAGAGGAAAACTACGAAATCCTCTCGAAGTTCGCTTGACGACAAGGGGACTCTAATCCAGGATCCGTCTACTACTGAGGATATTTTACGTAAGCACTGTGGTCGGTGGAAACCGGGTACGGAATTGCTATCGACCAGCCAACACGAATCATAACAGCGACGTTTAAATCGAGGTGAATGCGAAACGCGATGTTTTATACAAAATCGTTAAAATACGAAACAGGATGCGCTTTTTCGAAACGAGTAAATAGAAATAGCGATGTGTGATTTTAAGTCATGTGAATATAATTTTAAATCCTGTTTTTAATGGTAGGAATAAGCGTAAAAATTATTATTTATTTATTACTATTATTTTTTAATACCCTTCCCTTCCAAGTAATATTCAATGCTAGTTTGTTTATGAAACCACTTTATAAAATAAAAACCTAATTCGGCATAATAAATAAAATAATTTTTTTCGACGAAATAAATATTAAGAATATACTTCTAATATAGTTTGTGAACAGAATGCTTGCAAAATAGGAGCATTGCTCAATTGTTATTTATAAATTAAATATTTATTAGACTTGAGTATTAATTTTAAAAAAAACATTATTTAAATTGTTTAAACAAGACTGCTTTTTAAAATTAAGAATCAGACGTTTTTAAGAAGGATTTGTTTTTCCTTTTTCGATTACTCTGTTTATAATTCTTAGAATTACCAATATTTAATTATGAATGCGAGTCAGCCCAATTCAAAATTCTTGATGGTCCCATCAGAGCATTTTGTTGGTTTATGTGCGATTCATGATGGTCAAACATCGTTTGATGGTCACCATCATCTAGCATTTTTCATTATGCGTTGATGGTTTTGGAGATTCCAACAAATAATAATATTTAAATTTTAATGACTGAAAACATCAGTAATAAATTTGTCAGAAAATCATAGCTTATTTCTCATTAAATATTATTGTATTGTCAAATATATGTCAAATAACCGCCGTTGAACAGCTGACCCAATTTTATGAGTTTATGACTACTAATGTTCAACTCCGTAGTCTGGTGAGTTTGTACCCAATCCAGAAGACAAGGGGACTCCTGGATTGAGTATTGGGAAAAATTTGCCTTCGTGGAGGACTTCTTGATGTAGCTAACTTGCATTTGCCATTTGCGTTACATGGAGAGGAAGATCACGAGAACCTCCGACGGTTAGCCTGACGGCAAAGGTTCTCTAATCTATGATCCGTCTACCGCTGAGGATATTTCACGTCAGCACTGTGGTCGGTGCAAACCGGATGCGGAATTCGTATCAACTGGGATTCGAACCCGGTCCACTTCATTGGAAGGCGAACCCTCTATCCCCTCAGCCATCACGGCAAATAAAAAATTTTATTTCCTTATAAAAATAATACAAATAGATTTAAAGTTAGTGGTCAAATATATGTCTCCCTTATAGCTGTATGCCTGTTGACGCACTCTCAGCACTTTTAGCGATTTTAATAATTTTTAACAGAGCGATTTTAATAAACTGCTGCAATAAAATCATTAGGGAAAAATTTCTGCGCATGAGTATTTTCGAAAAATATGCATGGAAACTCTTTTAACATGAAAATGTTCAGCCTCAGAATGGAAATCTATTCAAGAATCAATTAAATTCACTAAAGTTTTCGTTTTAAAGAATGAAAAGAATTTAAGAACAACAAATGAAAAATATTGATTTTTCAAAGGTGTGTACAAAAAACAATGATATTGTGTTTTCCTTTAAAAATTTATAACTAAAATTGTAACTTCATTGATGTGTTACTCATTTTGAATAAATTTGTTAATTGAATGTTTGTTTCCTGTTTAAGCTTATTACAGCATTAAATTTTTTTTGATAACAGCAGGCACTGAATGTTCATTCCTCGCATTAGAACATTCCGGAAGTGTTGCTCATTTATTGTTATATCCGGTGGGCACCTGTGAATCAAAGTCACAGAGGCGAGTAACATTAACCACTCCATACTGCCACAAATACCCGTTCATATGGTGGGTCACATTCACATATTACACAACTGCCAGAGAAACATTCATGCCGTGAACGGGATTCGAACTCTCAGTCAGACACGCTAACCACTCGGCCACCTCGGTATTAAGCAATATAGCCGCATGAAATATTAAATAAAAATTATTTTTAAAAAATATAATCAAGTTGTTTTAAACTAAATTTTCTAATCTGTGTTTCGTTTTTAACATCATCTCTTGGTTACAAATCACTTACATTAGTGTTACACAGAGGGGTAAAAAAAGAAAATCACCTGGAAAAAAAAATTATAGGAAGGCGTTATAACCGCAATTTTACCATTATATATTGAATTTTTTACTCATTATTAAAACAGCATTTGTCGTAATGTCATAGATTTAGGGCAATTCTTATTATTCCATAGATAAATTTTTAAAAAAAAATCAATTTCTGACCATAGTTTTGTAGTGGAATTATTTGTCAACTTACCTGGAAATTGTCTTTGGGTTTTAATCATTAAAAATCACATATTTAAAATCAGAACACGATTACGAGATCGAAAGTTTAGTGAAGCATTTTCTTTAAGGAAAAAAAAATATGCTTTATTTCCCTCTTAATTTTATTTCTCTTTAACAAAATAAGGCATATCAAGAATTATTTTAGTTTCAGATTATTCAACAGCTACAAACAAAATGAATTTTAAAATTAAATTTAAATTACTTGGCGATGATAGTTATAGAAGAGTTGTGCCAAAAAAGAATGTATGCGATAGCGAAAGTGAAAGTATATTGAAAATATACTGGGTGATAAGAG